GCACTGGATATAGTTGCGCCATTTAATTTCGTACGTATTTCCTGAACAGTGGGTGTTACGTGGCGCTCTCTTTGTATGGCTTTATTGACCGCTCGGTATTCGCCACATATTCGAACATTTTCAGTGCCACTTCTCGGAACCACAACTATTGGACTTATCCATGTAGTTGGACTATCAACCCGTTCTAAAATATCGGCCTTTTCCAAAGAATCTATTTCCGTAAGTGATATGAAATACGTCGATGACTCTGGCGTACAGGATTTATTTCAGGATTGATATGTAACTTTACTTTCTTACCGTTAAATGTTCCTACTCCTTTGAATACAATCTGGAATACTGGCCCAGAAAGGACGCGAACACGAGTCTGCGCCATCGAGATTCAAAACCCAAGCAGTTAGCCAATTCGCTAGCGAGTTTGCAAATTGGCTGCCTCAATACTTCTGAGACTTGTTGTAAATTAGATGTTATTTCAGTTACACGTGTGGAAATTGTCTTGGATCATGTGTGTACGTGTGTTGGTGTTTGCAACATTACTCTCATAATGAGAATGTACTTGTATGAAAGTTGAGTTGCTGAAGAATATCCTAAAATGGACGAATCATCAGTATTAACCACAATAAATTTCAATTTTTGATTATAATTCTGCAAGTTCAATTTGGCTTCAACAGTACCTAAAACATATGCAAATACATTTCTGTGTGTTGGCATTAAAGTAACGAACTCGCTAATAGTATCAAAATCTTGACGATTCAAACTATTACATGCCGCACCAGAATCTAGCATCAAACGAATTAATTTGTTATTAATGGACAGTTCAGCAAATGGAAGTTTTCGTTCATAATTCTCACAAATATGAATATTGTACAAGTATTCAGCACTACCGGTAGTATCAGAATCTTGCTCATTTACATGTTTAACTTCTGAATTCTCACATGATCTAAATTTACCACTTGATCGATTCTTATTGCGTAATTTGCGACTACATGAAATAAAGTGCCCAATTTCATGACAATAATGACATTCTTTGTCCTTTGCTGGACATAAATTTGTATGTGGGTACTTACATCCACATGTTCGATTTGGATTAGTCCCAGACTTGAAGTTTCGATCTTCCCTTGAACGATTGTCACGACCAGAACGTTGGTTACGTCTTTTCACCCACGAAGATGAATCGGAACTTTGAGTCTGTTTTAAGGGCGTGGAGTATTGGAAAACTTCATTCACCGCGTTTGTAGTCTGCACGTCACATTCTATTCTATGCGCTTCTCTTTCGGACACTTTGAAACTTCGAGCAAAAGTGATGATTTTCTCTAGGGTCATTTCTTCCAAAAGCGCATGTCTACGAACTTTCCCGTTCTTCCCTCCTTGTACAATTTGATGTTTTATCTCATGTTCTCTCGCTGCTTGGTCATCATAGCCACAATTTACAACCAGTTTGCGAA